TAATTTTTGTAAGGTTAAAAATAAGTTCAAGAAAAAATGACCATTAAAATTAACTTATATGCACCTTAATTAATCTCTAGAGCATATCCTTTCATACACATTTTTTAAAAACACTTTCAATGTTCCAGTTCCAGAGAAAATTTCATATTTAAACCACATATTTATAATATGGGAAATTGGTGACAGTGATGGAAGGACAATTACAGGAAATGGCCTAGACAGAGTGGGATAGCAACAAAACCCGATCTTCCTTTGGAAATTTCAAATTACCAAAAATAGTCAAGAACCCATTCTGATCCCCCACCCTCAATCCCCACTCAAAAAAATTGGGTACTATAATGGAATCTTTTTTGTCTTATTACTTACTGGAATCTCCACCACATAGTTGCTGTGCCACCTGGGAGGGCGTCGGATCCTTTCAGACCTTCTAAGCTCCATTCTACAATTACAAAATAAAATTAATTACACAAGAAATTGTTTCTTCGATTTCAGAATATATAATCTAGCATCAAACCTCAAGAGTATACTTTTCTCTGTGTGTGTGTGTGTGTGTGTGGGGGGGGGGGGGGAATTCTTCTCTAGAGCCCGTTGACATTGATGGATTAGATTTATTTTCATTTTATTCCAGAACATTATGTAGACCCCTCTATCTTAATAAATATGTTTAACTTGTTTTTGCAATTTCATGCGACTGTATGTTCATATGGTAAAAGTTCCTAATTTAGCGTAAAGGAAAAGATAATTTTATACAACTCACAGAGTCAAAGCAGCTCGTTTCTATCAAAGAAAACCACGAAGGTTAAATTCCTCCTGAAAACTTTATTGTGGGCACATTTTAGTCCCAGGATTATCATTTAAGCAAAGTAAATTTACACTATTTAGTAATTTTTATCAATTTGACAAACTGTTCATATGCTATCCGGAAGAAGCTTCTTAATAGAGTGACCATGTTCACGACTATGCTTTAATAACGTGAATTTTGATGGCTAGGACAAGAATTTAAGCAACCAATATATGAGACAGAAGCTTAACAATTTTTTTTTCCTTTCAATAAAATAGCTTCATACTTTTTAGCTCATATTTAGATATAGATTAAAACTATTTTGTTCATTATACATTTACTTTGAACATTAATCCCAAAAGGCGCACTGAGAGGTATCAATTTGGTCCATAATTGCTAGATTTGGAATACGTACAACGCAGGAAATTAGAAAAAAAAATTAAAGTAAAATGATCCTTAATATGACAAGGTGAAGATAGCGAACAGTAAACGATCTTATATATTTGATATATCAAAGTTTAAATGCTAATAAAACACCCATTTCAATTTCTTTGCTAGAAAATTAATATTTTTGACGTTTCAGAGATTCAAAGCTTGAATTTCTCAATATGCTTATTTTGATTGCCAATGTTTCGCCATTGCTGCCAATCCTGGTCAACCGAAGTACAAATATAATTATTGTGTTTACAAAACGAATCAATTATAACGTCTAGTATATTATTAATCTGTTAGAAAAAAAAATGAGCGGTTATTGGATTATTGACAGTGGCGTCTTCCACGTAATCCTACTTTTTAGTTTGGAGTCTGACTTGCATTTGAGAAACTTTAACCTTCGCCATGAGCTGCCATACGGGTGCATCAGTGTTTCACAAACACATCTTTTTTATATACAAAAGTTTTCTTTAAAAATTCTTTTTATACAGAATTTACATCATTTAATTCTGTAATTACAGACTGTTAATGAATTTAGTATATGAAATACTTAAAGAAGAGGCCCATGTGCTTTATATGCTCAATTTGACAAATGCATGTATATTTTTTGTGTAAATTATAGAATTATTGTGGCTTCTTCCCTGGTTACCTAATTATGAAGGAGAGTGCATTTAGAAGCAAGCACCAAGTATCTAGTCTTTCTATTTCTTTCATACAAAATCCACCCATTAACTGTCCTCTATATGTCAGTCAATTTTTATTTTAATTAACTTAGTACAAATAAACGCAAGAAAGGATTTAGGGAGAGTTTGTTTTACATTTCATAGACTCTGCATAGCGGGAAGATAAACATGAAAAAGGATCCATTTTGGATTTACATTTCTGTAAAACCTGTTTCTCTGTCGTTATTCGATTGTCTTTATCAAACCCTCCTTATAGATTAAGGATGACATTACATGCTATTCATTTCTTTACACCAGATGCTCAAAATGCAATATATGGTTAAAAGATTACCTATAGTATCTTGTTGCATAACACTTGTTGTTGGTGCTCTTGAAAGAGCTTACATTGTACTGTAATTGATCGGAATCGTCAATTTTATTTTTAATTTATTTCAATAAAAACATATGTTCCTCGAGTTATTGACACCTTTAGTGTAATAATGTTTGGTGTTGTCAATAACAGCAATATTTGTTCACAGAAATTTACAGTATCTACTCGGGAAAAAGGGTGAAGAATGTATGAAAAAATGATAAAGGAGTGTTTTGTAGTTTTAACTTGTATCAAGAAAGTTCATGTCAGTTTTACCATCTGCATATAATACAGAAAAGGAAGATCTGAACATTTTGTCAGAATGGATTAAGTTTTAGAAATATATTAAAAAATCGTCTAAGAAATTTAAAATGCAATTTGCGAACCATCTATCCTTCCGTTTTCACTAAATCGGAAGTGATAAAAGAATTAAAAAGACTACATGAACAATATGTTATTATTCTAGCCGTCAAGACTTGTAACAATATCGTCTTTGTTTGTAAGGGACATTATTATAACTGTATTTCAGAAGAACTTGGTCTTAATTCCAAGTCTGGAAATCCACTTATACCCTAAGTTCACTTTCTAAAGACGAAATTCTTCAAAATCACATTTCAGTGTTTAATACAATTAAAATTCCAGTCAACCAAAATGAGTTCGATTTACCCTACCTATACTGGTTTCCTTAACTTCATAAAAATCCCTACAAACAGAGATACATTGCTGGGTCCAGCAAATGCTCTACCAAGACCCTATATTTACTCCTTACAATGATATTAACTGCTGTAAAGGTACTGTGCTACAACATATTCTAGATGGGGTGTAAATCAGATGTGGATTCTCAAAAACTCCAAAGAACTTTTAGAAAATTTAAAATCGCCAAATTTTTAGAAGTCAGTAAAATCAAGACGTATGATTTTTAAATGAGTGATCTAATCTATGGCCAACTCAGCAGCCCCACCCTGAGGCCTGAACATGGACCCGAGGGGGATGAATTTTATGGGTAGAGGGTTTATATATATATATATATATATATATATATATATATATATATATATATATATATATATATATATATATATACACGAATTATGCACACGAATTTTAAAATTATATCAGGTTACTTTTAGTTATTTGATAACTTGCTTACCCTCTAAAGCCCAGTATTTCATCTATGGATCTACACTTTTTACAAAGGGTATGTGATAAAATTCTGAAATTTGTTTTATTAATAGGTTCAACATGCCGTTTTGAGAGTATTTAAATCGAGTAGTTCTTCAAAGGGGAAAAAAGCCAAAACCATAAACCCAACAATACAAGAAACACTGCTTTTGCAAGCCGAAGCATAAGTACACAATGTACATGTATGTCCCCTAGATCCAAGCGATGTTACATTGGATTTGAAAGCAGAGGACAAACTCTAAAAGTTTTGCAAAATTTAATTTTTAAAAAAAATTTTTTTTTTCTTTTTTTTTTCTTTTTTTTTTTATTTTTTTTTTTTTTTAGAAATAAATGATCCGTTTTTTAGATCCATGGCAATAGTTACACACCAGAATTTTGAGGAGAAACTAACACATCAATATTATGAACCTGTGGTTTGAAATACAATTGGAGAAAAGAAAATTCATTAATATAAAATTACTTTTTGTTTCTATGAATACAGTTAAAATTAGTCGAACCGATTATATTGTACCATTTTTGTTAGACACGATATTTGACCAGATGAAAAGAATAAGATTTTAATGCTAAAAAAATTGGTTGGACGGTTAATGAGAATTTTTTTTGTGTGTGCATTTGTTGATGAATTTTATTAATAATGGAAGATTAGATGATATTGTAACCAAGAGATACAGCGCATTCAGAAACTGCCTCAATAATGTTGATATTTAATAAATATTGATATTGTTGTTTTTTTTTTAATTTTAACAGGCAAATGTGACATCCAAGAAGAGAGAAGTTTGCAATTTAAAATCGTTTATAAGGTTTCTGGCAAGTGCTATTTTGCTTCTAGTGCTCTCAGCAAATGCAAGTTCACTGTTTTGAAAGAATACAGAAGTGGCGTCTCGTAAGACCGGATATTTTGTTACTTTCTCTTGTGCTTCGCACTGGTGAAAAAATTAAGGAAATTCTGTCACACTCGCTAAATAAATTCCATATCCAACAACAAAACATTGAATATTCTTTGTGTATATTTTTCTGCATACTTCATGCTAGATAGGAAAACCAAAAAGTGTAAAATAACTTGTTTGTAATGGGAATCTCTCTCTCTCTCTCTCTCTCTCTCTCTTTTGAAATATCAAATAAAAGAACAAACGTATAAGACACGTGTACTGTAAGCATTTTAATGCGAATTGGATTGAACAATATTTTTGTATTGACAAAAACAACTATTTGGTAAATTTCGTATTACATGTCTGTATTTTTCTTTAAATCATTACACCCACCTCCTGCTGAATTGATCAATAGGATACACGTATATAAATATAAAAGAAAAAATGACCTACCCGACGAGTTGCATTTGTCAAGATGTGGCGAGTATTGCTGGTGATCGTGTTTGCTGTTTATTTGGAAGGTAAATATTGCTTAGTTTTAGAAATTTAACTGTGGTTGTAATTCTTAAGTTTAGAGCATTTATTATTATTTATAATATTTAGAATTCAACTGCAAATTTGAAATGTTAAAGTAAGAAAAAATGATACACCTTTATCACTATCTTAAGTTGATGTTTCTCTGTTTTCTTTTTTATGCAAAGGCACAAATGGGTTCCTTTTTTGGAGACTTAATTGGAAAAGAAAGCCTAACAATAAAGGCACGATCACAAGACAAGGTATTGTAGTGTTTAAGTTATGAATATAAGCATATTAATTTTATAGATTTTCTTTCTGGTATTTCAAATTTGATATCATCATTCGTAATCAATGTTCGCCTGCATTTTTAGACTGTAATCTATGATTTCATTGCCAAACATTCTTTTTTGCTTAAAGGTGCATAGACACAGATTTGAAGTTTATATTTTCTCAAAATGTTCTATATAATGTCAAAACTTATATGTTGCTATAGAATTTCACACGAATATAAAATTAAAAACTTATTTAATCTGGAAATTATTGAAACTACGAATTTCGGGAGGCGTTTGATTAACAACAAATAAGTTGATGATACAAGGATATCAACAGTCCTGTTTAAATTCAACAATTTGCAAACTCTACAGTCGAAACAATGATCTTGCTGGGAAATACAATCTATCATTAAGTCGAATAATGACCCACGTTTTTCATACAAATTGTTAGGTCATCATTTTCTCATTGAAATGTCAACGAATTTTCCGTTTGCCCGATCTTTTCAAGGAGTACACGGCATGCGTTATCGGTCGACAGGGGATGCTTACTCCTCCATGACACCTGATCCCACCTCTGATGATTTCTGATATCTGTGTTTGCTCTGCTCCCAATTTGTATTGTTCCAATGGACTTTTGAGCTAGATTACTGCTCGTTATCTTCATATTTCATTACACAATCTAGTAGTATCAGTAAAAATCACTATTGACAATCCGATCATATATATATATATATATATATATATATATATATATATATATATATATATATATATATATATATATATATATATATATATATATATATATAAAGACAATTCGGTATCTGTTTTAAATTTTGTCTATGTATTGTGATATTGAAGTAAATTTATTGTGATATATGACTCAGTAAACTTACATAGGAAGAATGCATTTGGAACACGTACGTATTAGTCAAAGATACGGTTATTTTGACAATTATAAAATTTGAAACCTCCGGTCTCAAGAGAAAAAGGGGAAGGTCTGTTAATTTAAATGCAATTTGACAACATCGAGATTTGTAGCTATATACATGTATCATGCTGTAAATTTTGTGTACTCAGATAAATGAAAAATTTACATGATATAAATTGCATTTACCTGCATCCAGTAAATTTAGAATTTTCAACATTATATAAAAATGCAATAAAAATAGTGAGTGAACATGAGCAGAATAGAAATAAATTCGGTAATGAATAAAATTTAAAACAGGTTTCAGCACGGCAAAACCTTAGACTTTCAGCTAGATGTGCGGTCACGCTAAAGGATTATTACACGTGTGGGTCACAAATAAACATCAAGTAACATTAAGTATTTCTCATGCTGTTTTTGCAGCTTAATTTAAATTTCATATTTTCATTATTGTGAATACTAAATTAACATCTTCCCAATAACAGTTGTAGATCACAAGATGGTTTTTTTTTTTTTTTTTTTTTTTCACATTAATAGTTAACTTGAATTTCAATCAAAAATGTATCTTTCTGTATATTGATATCTTTTTAAGAAATGTATTTAATTTTTGAAGATTCATGAGGACATGAACTACGACGCTTCACGCCGGCACATTTCATGAAGCGCGTTAGCGCTTCATGATAAATATGCAGATGTGAAGCGTTGTAGTTCACATACCTCATGAATTTTCAAAAATTAAAGTCATTTCTTATGCCACAATTCAACTGTCATTTTTAAAGCAAAACAGTTTGCACTATAGTTTTGACGTCAAGTATGGTATTACGACGTAACAATAGAGATATTCATGCTCAGCCATGGTAGTTCATGAGAAAATGAACAGTCTTTTAATTTGCAAAGAATCTTAAAGAAAAATATTTGGAAATGTAAATATTAACTTGTAATCGCATAAATAATATATAAAGGAACTATTGTTCACATCATAACTTAACCACGTTCAGGGGTATTTGTGTTTACAAAGAAAAAAAACAACATTTTTGCTAATATTTGAATTGGGTTGAAAAGAAACAAGCCAAATAAATTAACATTAGCATACATGATAGGATTAAAGCATACATTTGTTTTAGATATGCTTGGCTGCTACGAAGACTCGAGGAGCAGGGTCCTTAGTGGAGGACGGACATGGGGCAATCACATGACAGTTGGCCACTGTAGACGAAGATGTGAGAAAGAGAGAACTCGATTTTACGGACTTGAGGTATTTTAATGGTTTGTTGCCCCTATTAATGCAAACATTGCAAAAAGAAATTGTATATTAAATTCCCATGTATAAAAACGAATCATAAATCTGAACAGCATCAAAATCATCCAAAAGAATTTGAATTTTTAAAAAAAATCGAGTCAGAATGTTTTATACGGAAAATTGTGTTTGAAAGATTTTTTTGGGCAAATCAAGTATTAATATTAAAAGAATAATATTTAAGTATAATGTTGGAAACTAATTTTCAAATAAAATTTCTTTTAAAAATCCATTAATTTACTTAAAATAATATAGGCTGGCAATGAATGTTTCTGTGGGAATTCCATGCGCTACAAAAACAAAAAACCATTAAGTGACTGCAAGATGAAATGTAAAGGAAATCATGAGGCTTGTGGGGGTGCCTGGAGGGTCCTGATTTACAGAAACCGAAAATATCGCAGCTCAAGTGAGTTCTTTTTAAGATTATACTAATCGAATAATTAATATTCATAACATCTATATATTTTGCTGATTCATTTCAAATTAAAAGTACATGTATATTAATTATACGTTTTTGCTTTTTGTTTGTTTTTGTTTTTTGTTTGTTTGGTTGGTTTTTTGGTTTTGTTTTGTTTTGGTTTATTTTTGTTTTTTACTGAAAAAATTTACAAACGAATAAAGCAATGAAATTCATTTATGGCAACATATCCTCAAAAATATGCAAGCAAAGTATTAATGAACTTATGATATAGCGATATTAATCTATATTGACATTTATTAGTTTTATCTGCAGCTACATACATTTTCGGAATTGCTTTAGCAAACTATTTACTACTGTATTAAAGAACTAGATTTAAAAAAAAAAAAAATCAGACATAATGTTACTTCTTTAAGATATTTAGGAGTCTGTATATTTTTCTGCAAAATTTTGAAAAATCTTGCATAACGTAGAGAACGAGTGTAATGGACGTAGGGAGGTTGAAATGTCACATGATAATTGAAATTATCTGTCAAGTACCGGTATTGTACGTGTTGTAATTCTGCAGAAAAATTCCACAACAGACCAGAGACAGAATTATATTAATGCCACCTCTGGAATTTCCAGGGGTCCGTGTTTTATGCCTCATCACAGATATGTTTTGTTTATAGATGTTTTGAGATCGATCACTGTTCGTTATCTTTACCTTTTACATGCAAGAAAAAACAACTAATAAAACTAGTATCATCATTTATTTTTCAAAAGTACTATTTTGTTGATTCAAGTTCTCTCTTCTTCCCCACCCCTCTCTCTAATTATTATTATTACCAATTATACAATGAAATTAGTTGATGATGTTATTACTGTTACATTATTGAAAGTACTTGTAGTTATTTTTTTTCTTTGTAGACTTTGTTCGAAAGACAGGTAAAGCAGTTACTTTAATTAAATATTATAATGATAATATGTCTCTTGTTGGATGATACCGGTATCGATATATATAAACTTTCATTGAAGCGCAGCTATAAATTTTTGACAAAATGTTAAAATCAGTGTTCTCATAATTATTGAATTATTATAAATTTATATAATAAGTATACACGATAATTGTCGTGTACTCGTTATATGAATGTCTAATAATACTAATACATGTAGTCAATTTATATTTGGTGATAGTTCATTTGATCTAAAGCGATGGATCCCCCCATGAACTATATATCTATTGGTCTTGTCTATATGGTAATTCTGATGATGGGTTTTTAAACTTGGAAGTGTTATTTGTTATTTACAAATTACAGTTTTAGTTTTTGTTTAACCCAAAAGTTTTAACAACCAACCCAAAATATTGCGTTATCATATTACCGTGAAATTTCCACGTGGAATTTATCCTTACACAATTCAAGTGTAATGCATATACATGTGTGTAATTCTGATTTTAATGAAAGGAAAAAATGACAAACTCACATGCTCATATTTAAAATCAACATCGTACGTTCTCTCTCTTTTTCAGGACTCGTGGGATGTTATAAAGATGGCTGGTATAGGACTCTAGGCGGCTCGTATAGACGGAGTAGCTACATGACTGTCAATAGATGTATAGCTATTTGTAAACGCAAGAGGAATTGCTACGCCGGGGTTGAGGTTCGTTCACATCAAACTACAAAACGAGATATATTACTTTTGTCGTACAAAAATTACTCAGATTACTCAATACTATCTTAGGGAATTCAATTGTTCAATTTGGTTGAAGTGGACAAGGATATTCTGGCATTTACATGAACGTGTAAAAAATTAGACTCCTACATCAAAACACTTTTTTTTTACTTTCGTTGTCATAAACTTGTAATTGCAATATTTTACAAAGCATACTCAATGCTGGTGTCGAAAAATAATGACATCATAATCGGACGCAATGGTCTAGTCAGAACGAAAGAATTACTATGTTTCATTTGATGCAGTAAAAAATCTCCGAAGACACAATTGTATCGGCTCACAGATATGATAATTATACAGTAGGGTTTTAGGGAATCCAATTCGACTTTATCTATTTTACAAATACATGTAACTAGACCCAGACGCATTTATATCTAGGATCAGTGATAAAAGTTATGAGGAGTTACTTAAACCATTAAATATTACAGTATGGGGTGGAATGTTTCTGTGGAAATTCTCTTCGCCGGAGGCAGAAAGTTGCCAACTCGCAGTGTAAAATGCCTTGTAGTGGCTACAGAAAGGAAGGATGTGGTGGGAGATGGCGGATTGCTATTTACAGGACAAACGTTAAAAGAGGTAAAATAGGACAGCTCACCTATTTTGATAACTAACGTAAAAAAAATAATAAAATAAAAAATGAAGAACACCAAATGTTGGCATAGTACACGTACTGAAAAAAGTTTACACTAACACCACTCAAAGAAGAAAACAGATTCCCTGTCTTAAATGGTAAATAAAAAGTTTATTATCTTCACATAGATATGGATCGCTGTGTCTTTATATAGTAAAGAATTATATTACCAGGTACATTAATTTATCAAGTAAGAGGCCATAATTCGAAAACCTTTAAGTGGAATGGTTCAATTTTCTGAGTGTTGTTGCCCAAGACCTTAAGGACAGGTGATACAAACTTTTTTTCAAAAATCATGAACATAGCAACTAAATCTATGTTTACAAGAATAAATAAGTTTAACCTGGGTAAATTTTTTCATTGAGAATTCCTCAGTAATGTTCTATAAAGTGATTTAAAAAATGACCAGATTTATAAAGATTATGGTAAGAAAAAAGAAAATTGAACATCATAGAAAGATTAGAATTTCTAAATTTCTTAGAGATTTTATATTTGCATCATTTACAACTAATATAAGTCAAAAAAAATATATCAATCCATAGATCCAATTTTTTGTTTGCAGCATGTGTCTTTAAGGTGTGTAACAATTCAAAACTAATTTCTTAAAAAGGTAGAGGCCACTGCGCAAATATAGTTAAATGGTGTCTAGGATTTAACTTCATCTCCCTTGATTGGAATGACTAAAATTTGAATGTGTTCTTGGTGATGATCGACAACTTTTTTGAAATCGATTTCAAGCAAGTAATTAAAAGTTTCTCCAATTGATGAGCGATGTCAATCAATTTCTTCTAAAGCACTGGGCGTCACCTATTTGTTGTACTTAATGTATCTCGATTCAAGATAATATACATAAAAAGTATATTAAGTGTATTAAAGGTCAAGGTCACTAAGCATTAGATATTGTTATCTTGTCTGAGTAATAACTTTGGAACCCTTGGTTACAACCAATTTAAACTTGAGTGTTGTTGCTGATGGCCTATCAAAGCGTGTTTAAATTTTGATTCAAGGTCACATCTTAACAGACAATGTCACTGATTAATTAAACCTTGAAATCGTGTAAGAGTCATAAGTTAAAAAACCTATAACTAGAAAGAATTCAAAAATGAGTGAATTGCTTTTGATGTCGTATGGGTTTGCTATGATTGACACAGGATTATACCTCAAAGGCCAAGTTCACTGAACAACAATGAGATGTTGAAATTACGATACATCTTTTAGGTCAATAATTTTGCATTAAATAAGGTTTTTGTATCGAAACAAGGGCATGTCTTTCAGGTACTGTTAAGATGGCAAGAGATATTATTGGGTAAAGGGAAGACATTCAGCCCCCCTCCCCCAATATATGCATCTAATCCCATATTTACATTATCTTTGCAAAGGAAATAATTGTGGACGGCATAGGAAATGTCATTCAAATGCAAGATGCGTAAATGGAGAATGTCGATGTAACAAGGGATACACGGGAGACGGCGTGAAAAGATGTTATCGTAATCTTTTTCGTTATTTATTACTGCAATAATTCAATAAAATTAATTTGGTATTTGCATATCTTCGTGTTAATTACAATTTTAATCACTAATTACTCTAGAAACCTGTACCTGTTCAGCATCAGGAGATCCTCACTATAGAACATACGACGGCCAGATGATTCACTTCATGGGCATCTGTAAATACACCTTAACTAAAGTCAAAAACAGCCGCTCTAACATCTTTAACGTGGAAGTCAAGAACGAATATCACGGCAGATCTCGTCATGTATCTTATACAAGGCTGGTGGACGTCAAATTGGGAAAAAACACCATTCGTCTGCACAAAAAGCACCAAGTATATGTAAGCTGATAAGTATGTGTTCTGAGAAGATCAATTTTTGAATCAACATTAATTAATTTAAGCAGAATTTATGAATAATATCAGAATATTGATCACATTTTTGATTATTTTCATGCTGTATAGAGGGTATACATATTTAACTTTTATTTGGTTACATTTAGCTTAATAATGAGTGTTTAGCAATTTTAAAAAAGGGGCGAGATTTTTTTGTTCCATTATTCCTTCAATATAAAAGTTCAGATTATTTCAATTTACTTCAGCTTAATGGAATAAGAATATACCTACCTTACACAAGACGCGGTGAGTTTAGAATTTTTAGGAGCGGTAACAAAGTCAAGGTTATAGCCAGTACTAACGATGGAGACGGCGTGGTCACGTGGGATGGCTGGAGCTCGGTCACAGTGACTGTTCCAAAAAATCTCGGACGTCGTATGATAGGACTTTGTGGGGACTGTAACGGGAAAAAAGACGATTTCCGTACAAAATACGGTAAAGATGTGTCCAGAGACTCCCAAAAATTCGTCAAGATTGGCAATAGTTACACTGTGAAGGACGATACTGACCAAATTCATCAGAGGTACCCCCAAAATATTAAATAGAGATGCTGATCTTGAATTAGTATTCATACATCTGAAGTGAAAATAGCTTTTAAATTTTGAGAAAAAAAGTTTAAACCCTCTTATTAATATTATGGGTTACTAGTTCATTTTGAAGGGTTCTTTTGCAGTTGTAAGGTGCATGAAGTATCAAATAAATGCACACCAGAACTGCGAAAGAAAGCCATGGATAGCAAAGTTTGTGGCTTTCTTAATTCAGAGAAGAAAGACCAAAGTCCATTCAGAGATTGTTTAGCTGAGAGTCCAACGACGAGTAAAGAAATGTTTGAGAACTGTGTGTTTGATTTCTGTACATATTACTCGGAAGTCTCTCAGCGGAAGAAAGCTATCTGCCAGAGTGTGAGCGGTTATGCGGAATATTGTGCTGACTTGGGAATTTCTGCTAAATGGAGAACTAATGATTTCTGTCGTATGTAATTTAAATTAAGCATTAAAATCACAATTGTCATAAGAAAAAAGGTTATAAATAAGTGGATACAACAATGATATTCAGAAAATTTCTGTCTATATTTAGAACGTTTCATTCGTTGATGATTATGAATGTCCTTAATCTTTTAGCATTTCCCTGCGGTGAAAATATGGTGTATGATACTGAGATGAGTGGTTGTCCGGCCTCCTGTGTGGATCCAGACTCTGAAAAAGATTGTGACCAACCTCCGACAGAAGGATGTCGTTGTAAGGATGGTTTCATCCTGAGTGATAACAAATGTGTAGAGAAATCAAAGTGCGGATGTAAAGGAGCGGATTCTAAATATTATCCCGTAAGCAATTTAAGTCTATTATGATATTACTTTAAATTCAAAACTTTTCAAGATGTTATTCGAAACTGTTCGACTGTTTCATTATTAACATTGATAATCCTTATTTCTGAATCGTATGTGGTCAAAAAGCATTTGCACACGGTCACCGACCATTCGTTCTGATCGCACAATTTTTGAAAAAGGCGATTGTGGGCGCTACTGCTACGATAAATTTGAGCTACAGACTGACTTGCAATTTAGCCCAAATGATCAGTGTTTAATTGATAAAACATCCTCTCTTCCACCAGTCACGATCGGTACAAGGTTTTGGACTTGAAAGACCCCCTTTCTGCTAGTGCGATCATTTACGATATCTGCGACTAGACGTGCTATATCTGTACCATTTTTCTGCTATTCCAGTTGTTGTTGTTCTTTTTTTTTTTTTTGGTCGCAGCCAGGTATAAGTTAGTCAGTGTTACGGGGCGTTACAAACATGATTTTCATTTTCTTATCGAGCCTGTTGGTTTCGAATTAAAGTAAGGTAGGTCTTGAAGAGATAAAGGTCTTTAAGGAATGTTGCAGTTGATATCACCTTTATCTCTATAACCCTGAGGCTATTTAGTATATATAGAAAAACATATCGTTATTAATCCCGATTAGGTCCAGACAATGAATTTATTTCCCATCTTACCATCTTATTTGTCCGAAGTATCTGACGTTTTCCAGGCTTTTTTCACGATTTTGATATTTTACGTGCCAGGAAAACGTCAGAACCGGCGCCATTACGAAAACTGGAAATTTCACCGTCTCCAACCGGAGCTAATTTTTGATACTTGCGAACTGAATTAAATGCCGAACCTACAATTTATCAGTAGCACAATGCTTCTAGTAATCACCAATATCGATGAAAAGAAAATATCACTTCACATTTCGATGAGGTCGTGCAAGTTTTTAAAATGCACGAAATGAAAAGAAAACTCGACGGTCTGATGAAATGTTTTCACAGACTGTATTTTTCATAAGCAAACCCAAAAAAAACGATAATGGTAAGTACTAAAAGCATTGTATACTTTTAATAAGTTGTGAATTCAGCATTTATTTCGGTTCGCAAGTGTCGAATATCAACCCGATAATGCCGCCTCCAGTTGGAGGCGGCGAATTTCCAGTTTTCGTAATGGCGCCGGTTCTGATGTTTTCCTGGCACGTAAAATACTCTATGTGTACTTAAAAATGCGGGCTTAATTTTTTAGCGGCTTTGGCGCGGACAACGATGCGCTAATTTATGAATACCGCTAATAAATCATTTATTACAATAGATGGCACGGACATGTGTAGCGTTAATTTATGATTACGCGAACAATTCCATACCCCTTGATTGCGTTAAATTTTGAATACGCCAATTTATGTACACGTACAGTTTCAAAATCATGAAAAAAGCCTGGAAAAATTCAGATGTTTTCCTGGCACGTAAAATATCAAAATCGTGAAAAAAAACGTCAGATATTTTGGACTACCATCTTATCTGCCTATCACTACAAGAAACTGTTGAACAGAAGTTCTCTTATTAAATTTAAGAGTCATTCTCTGTAACGACTTGAATTTTTATATAGAAGCTGTGGCACGCATAGTCTCAGAATTTCTCCAAACTCTCTATGATAAAAGTCTTTAATACCGTAAACTCAAATCAGGCAGAAATTGGTTGCTACGTGTCATGGTTAGCATGGCAACATGTCCTAAAGTTTGAAAAATGGCATTTTTCAACATGTTCAGAGTCCCACAGTTAACGTTTGCAGCAAAGCAAACAAGTGGCAATGATTGTTTCTGAAAGTTGAAGGCCTGATGTCTTAAATGCATGATAAACATGTTTGGTAAATCAACTTTTACATACGTTACTATGGAAACAAAGTATTCAAAAGTAATAATTTTGCTCATTTAATTTTGTAAAATCATACACTTAAGAATAAAAAAAAATATAGGTTGAAATGCAAGCAAATAATAGACAAAAGATCCTTGTAACATATACCAAGGAAGAAATATGATATTTCTTATAGGTTGGCAATGGTTGCCATGGTTTTAATACCAAGAAAGGATTTTAAATTTACTCTCTTAGTGATTAAATCTAATCCTATTTTTTTTAAATAGCATATTTCTATATAACTAATGATCAATTTTTAAAGATGTTTATGTGACCCTAATTCTCACATTTCAAAAAATTCAAATTCAATTCTTTAAATAGAGCGTTGCTATGGAAATAAGCCGAAAAAATATGCATAAAAATCTGAAAAATATTCTGTTTCCTTGGATACGTACCCTTGTCTGTAGATTCCCAAAACTTTTATGATTGGTAATTATGAACAACTAACCTGACTTTCAATTTTGACTGCCACTCAATCTCTTACTGGATGCAAAAAGCTGGCACATAGGGTTTAATATTTATATTAAATTAACAAAATCGAACATTTTCCCTTCTTGGTTACCATAGCAACAGTGTTGTATTTTTCAACAAACGTTATCAATATATGATATTCAACTTTAGTTTTACCAGATAAGTACTATTCAAGGTGAGTCAAATAATATGTTTCTTGAATAAAAGGTAAGTAAATTCCTAAGGCAGCAAAAAAATATCACTTTAAACAACTGGTACATTGTTTCCATGGTTACACTGCAAAGTAGCAATTAATCCCAATTTTTCTTATGTTATCGGTGTTGCAAGGTCCTCAGGATGTATATGTGCCAGTCATAAAATTTATTGTTTTTCCTGAAGATAGTAGCATTAACCCAATCTTAGCAACACACTTTGGATGGTAACACTGTGTTACCATGGCAACTATAAAAGTTATTTTTAGAATAATATTGCCAATACCTAATTACTTAAGGTCAAATATTTTTATTGTTTTTTCTTAGGTTGTTGATCGAGTTTAATCATTTAATACCCATCATAAGTGAATATTGAGCGTTTTTCTGCATTTTTCAGCATCTAAAATGTATTCCAAATGTATCCATGGTTACCACTTACTTAGAGATAAATTTTAAATAGTTTCTTTATAGCATAAGTGGCAACAAGGTGTCAGGTTTTGGGGAGAATGGTTTGTTTGTTATTCTTATTCTTTGTTAAGGCTTAATAAAGATTCAAAGTAGCTGAAAATTTCAATTTTTCCAACTTTTCTGGCTGTTACCATGGCATCCAAGACACATAGCAACAAAATTTTATTTGATATATGTTTCTGGTGTCAAGTTGTAACAACGGGCAAAATTTCATCAAAATCGGTGACCATGCGTGGCAAAGAAGTTTAAGTGGTTACAGAGAATCGCTATTAATAACTCCCCACACAATCAGTGGATAAATGTGTACGAAAAGAAGTTTCACCTTAAGGGATTCCCGACTTGGATGCAGTTCAAGAATATTGGCAAGTCTTGTCTCAGTCATGTTTGAGGGACGCAATCTATGGATGAAATCAAAAAAAAAGAAGGAATTCAATTTTTTTTTTCACGGGTACATATATTAAATGTACCAAATTAAAGTGTTTTGGTCGCCAAGAATTGTTGTGGACTCTTAGATAAGTAGATTTCAACAAAATCATACAATTACGTAACAGTCAACTTTACAATTTTTAAAATAAATTTACAACTTAGTACAGTAAGACCTTCACTTTCTAATTTTGGCTAAAGTCGGCTCAGTGGCCAATCAAATCTACGTAGGACCTTATTGTATGTATCGTTATTTACTAGAATTTTTTAAGAAGGCATTATTAAGAATATGGGTCACAAATTTTATTTATTTACCCAAATGTAATTGTACTGTGATTTATACTGAAACTACTTTGTTTCAGTTGGGGACAACATTTACCTCCTCGGATTGTACGACCGTGCAGCAATGTAAAGTTGAGGGCGGCAGTGTAGGGTTTAAGACTATTCTTACAAAACCAAAGTGCGGACAACACCAGGCATGTTCAGTGCTCAATGGATCTCCGACATGTGTGTGTCAGAAAGGATACATCTCCGATGGGAGAGATGGCTGCTTAGGTAGCCAGAAATTATTTGTAAAATATTTAAAATTATTTTTTAATTGATTTTAATAATTATGTTAACGTAAATTCTACAGGAAAAAATATTTCTAAAAATATTTTTTCAGAGGAAAGTCCCAAGTGCAATAACAAGAAAACAGACCTCAAATGTGAGTCTTCCAGTGGGAATAAAGTTGTGTGTACTGTTCCAAAGGCAAAAACCGTGCTTCATGTTAGATCCACTGCAGCAGACTGCAAGTATGGATCTACATATGGAATATCTGGGGATGGCATTTGGGTGTCGCTTACATGTAAAGGGACCTTCTCTGTCTGCTACCTTCCAGGTATTTTCCAATAAAAATACACATGATACATGTATACAAAATATTAAACTATTGTGAGCGTTCCCATTCGCTCTGTATGCTGAATCTCTTTGAAAATTCTTACGTTTATTTCTTTATCATTATTGCAGTACCGCCTCCGCCAGGAACAGGTAAGATTATGCTTCTAGTCCATACTATCAAAATTCATGAGTTTGTAAAACAGCTCAATATTGTTAAAAGGAAGATCTAAGATTATCTAAGATTATTTAGATTATTTAATTTATCTTATCTTACTATCTAACTATTACCTAATTATCTTATCTATCTATCTAAGATTATATTGTTTTAGAATACATTGTGTGAAATGTTAGAATAAACTTGAAATTACAATTCGTCACAAATTGTCTTGCGTGATATGAAATAAACTAATCTCACAAAATGTCTTCTGTGATATGAAATACGTACTAATCCCATTTTACTGAATTTGAAAACTATCTCGCAAAATTTCTATTACGATATGAAATAAATTTTCTCACAGAATTTTTTTTTTATGTAATTAATCAATCCACATGATGTTTTTAATTATTTGAAATACATGTTATTTTTTCTTACAGAATGCCTCTTTTTATATATAATACTCCTTTTTAACAAAATCTCTTTTATGATTTGAAATGATCTCAAATGGAAAATCTTTGGACCTTTGAGTTTGCTTACTGTTTGTTATCTTCTTATTTCATGATATAAAGTAAAAATATCTCACTGAATTCTCGTGAAATGTCTTTTATGATATAACCCTATCTTTGCGAAATGTTTTGTATGATATGAAATAAACCTATCTCGCAGAATGTCTTGCTCACGATGATCCCCATGGAAAGAAGTACCAAGGCACCGTGTCATCTACAGAGTTGGGTTACACTTGTCAGAAATGGTCCTCTCAGTCGCCACACGCGCATTCTTTACTTAAAACCTTAGACAACAACCACTGTAGAAATCCGGATAATGAGAAAGCGGCCTGGTGCTACACAACTGATCCCAAAAAGCGATGGGACTACTGTCATATTCCTGTCTGCCGTGAGTAATTTTTTCTTCTTTTTTTTTTCTTTTTTTTTGCAAATTCAGTATTAAAAAAATGAATAAATAAAAAGGTCTAAATGCATATGTATCTCTAGCGAAAAACAGTTTACATTGTAAACAATTTTATCAATTCTTTACGTAATAAGTGCATAGTGAATTGATATTGTTTTTTTTAATTTACAGCGGGTGTAAAACCAAACATCAATGTTGATGGTAAGTTTGTTATATTGGTGCTAATTTTGTAATCAAAGAAAAGGCAGAATTTTGGAATCGATTGTACTGTACATATATTTGTTTGAAGGACTTGATTTTTCAAATATTATCATCAAACTGGTCACACTTTATCCCTTTTGAAAAATTATGTAAATCTCATTATACGCATCAATATGTGCATAATAATAAAACCAGTAACAGTTACTATAGTATTTCAAGCAGTTTTCTTCATCGCCACCACGAGAAGACCAATTTATTTGTCTGGTCAACATGCAATTGCTAAGTTATTTACTTTCAGTCAAACAGTGGCGTTTTATTAACCCCACAAGTAAAGGTTGGGAGTATAAAAAATTCCTCAAGGTCAAAACCACAGTTATTGGCATTTTTTTTTTTCTGAGAGAGTTTAGTTTTTAGAATGCACGCTCCGGAGAATTAATTTTGTTAGGGGTGCACTAGTACCATATGTTATTTGTTTTAATATATTCAATGAATATCAGAATGGTTACATTTTTTCAATCGAATTACTCCTTATATTAAGAATGTCTCGATGCTGGCGATCCAAAAGGATTGAAATATGGTGGTTACAGAAACACAACAAAATCAGGCAAAACATGCCAGGACTGGGGACGACAGAGACCCCACAGTCATTCTTTCAAGAAATTAGCGGATCAAAGCAACTTTTGCAGAAATCCCGATAACGAGGCTGCTCCTTGGTGCTACACAACATCCAGCGCCACTCGGTGGGAATTCTGTAGTATTCCAGATTGTGGTAAGTGATAAAGACTGTATTGTCTTCAGGATTATGATAATTGTGAACGCATTTGTTGATGATTTATCTATATTAAGGAAGATTAGATAATATTGTAACTAAATGAGATGTGCGTTCAGAAAGTGCCTTAATAATATTGATACTTAATGAATATCAAAATTTATTTTATAATCTTAACAGGCGAATGTGACATCAAGCAAGAGAGGAGTTTGCAGTGTGAAATCGTTTACAAGGTGACCGGCAAGTGTTACTTTGCCTCAAGTGCTCTCAGCAAATGCAAGTTCACCGTGCGTTTGAACGAATACAGAAGTGGCGAGTCGGAAGCAAGGATACTGAAGGATGGCAAAGCACACATTCTCCGCGCAGGAGATACCCATAAGAGCTGTGCCTCGTTCGAGATGCGCTCCAACACGCTGTACGTGGTAGAGAAGCTTTGCGAGGAGAAGTGTACAAAACCTCCAGTTATTGTGAATTAGGAGGCAATGAACTAGTGTTATTATTTTTCGTAATCTGTTATTATCATAATTTTACCTTTCTTTATGAAATGTCAATTATTATTCAAATTAAACTGAATTCAGCAAAGCTAGTTAATCTTACTTACTCTAAAGAGGAAAAAATGCAGGATAACATAAAACTGCATTGCCAAAAATTATGAAAATTGGTCAGAGAAGTATCTAAGTAATTATGCTACAGAAGCGTATTAGTGCCACTTGGACACTTTTTTATTTTTCATTTTGCACACTTTAATCTGTAAAATGCACACTTTAATCTGTAAATTTTACACTTTAATCTGTAAATTTTATACATTAATCTGTAAAATTTACACTTTAAAGTGTAAATTTTACACTTTAATCTGTAAAATTTACACTTTAATCTGTAAAATTTACACTTTAATCTGTTTTATTCACATAATCAATTTGTCAACCTCATACATCTTACTTATCACGCTATAAAGCCAACAGACCATGACTCCTGCATGATAAAATTTAATTTTGATTTCTTATTAACAATAAATGTGGAAAATAATTACTTATCAGATATTATATGTATGGATATAAAACAAATAATGAGCAATCAAGTAAGACTGATATAAGTGAGACTTTCATAGAGTATTTGAAAGAATTATGAATTCAGTGGAAGTGAACAGCAAATCAAACACACACATCTTCTCATCGATCAATGAATATGACATTGATATCATTATACGCAAATCATTTGATGCGCTCAGCAGTTCAATTATTGATAGCATAAATTGAATTACATTCTACATGTATTACGGGCAACAATTGAGTTACTTATTGAATTGAAAATTTTTAAATAACCAATTAATATATTAATTATGAAAGTATATGCATGTGTAAATCATTAAAGTATATGAGTTTATATTAATTTGGAACAGCATAAAATTGATATCTTTTGATTCAATGATGTATCTTTATTTTTACATTCTAAAATGATCGTAATTTTAACTGTTATAACTTACATTATGATCATAGTCCCATAAACTTGCAATATCAATCTGAACTGCAAATGAAAAGACAAAAGTATTCAAGATATATATTTTTAACTGTTCGTCGCTCTTCACTATAGTACTAAATAAATATACTGGATTGAAAGCAGATTCCAGATATTTTGCTGGGGAAAATTACGAGGCCCATGATCAAATTGCCCATCCTTACTTATCAAATATACATGTATAAACTTTAATGCAAACATTTGTGAACATTTCAGCTTTATACTAATTTTTCAAATGTCATAGGTTTAACACCATGCAACGACCGTTCGATTATTACAGACTACAGAATAAGTTTTTCAGATTAAAGTGTAAAATTTACAGATTAATGTGTAAAATTTACAGATTAAAGTGTAAATTTTACAGATTAAAGTGTAAAATTTACAGATTAAAGTGTAAAATTTACACTTTAATGTGTAAAATTTACAGATAAAAGTGTAAAATTTACAGATTAAAGTGTAAATTTTACAGATTAAAGTGTAAAATTTACACATTTTAAAAGTGTAAATTTTACAGATTAAAGTGTAAAATTTACACATTAAAGTGTAAATTTTACAGATTAAAGTGTAAATTTTACAGTTTAAATTGTAAATTTTACAGATTAAAGTGTAAATTTTACAGATTAAAGTGAAAATTTTACAGATTAAAGTGTAAATTTCACAAATTAAAGTGTAAATTTTACACATAAAAGTGAAGAAATTAAAAAATAAAAAGTGTCAAAATGGCACTAATACGCTTCCGCATTATGCAGTATAATTGGTGACTAAAATTAATCAATTTTGAAATGTATCACACCGGGGATTCGGATTCGTTACACCTGACTGCTTTCTTGTCAAAGGTACCTGCGTGGAATGGACAACACATGTTTGTGTTGGTTATTTTCATTACCCTTGTTTACAAATTATAGCAGTTTACGTGTATTTGCGTTTGTTTGTACTGCACTGATCTGTGCGCCTGATGTTTGTTAGGTAATTTTCTCTTCTGCCGTGGAAGAAGCACGAAGTTATTTTTGTAGCTACGGAGAGTTTTACAAAAGTTATGTTAAATACATGTACATCTACACTGGTGAAAACTGATTACACTGAACCGTGACCAAGTGAACGGCTTATATAGGGGCCGTTCAGGTAACGGAAAATGCAGCGTAATATGGCGGACAAACATAGATCTCTGCCTTTTAAGAATCGTGTTCAGCTGAGAAACACATCGTTTTTCGATGTAGAAAGTTAGTTTGAATTTCTTGCATTCTGACGGAAGTTCGGAGGGTACATGTATATTGCATTGCTAATGTAAGGTGAAAGACAACAACAGGTTGCTATGCAGTTTGTTGTGAATTTCTAAGTGGGAAAAACCTGGTGGTCAACGTCTTTTTGTCCTTCGTTTGAAAGAAACTGGAAAAGTTGCCGACCAACTTCGACGTGGACCTCCGCAAAAAACAGGGTTATTCATCTTGCTATCAGCATATTTAACACTTCTACTAAATCTGCTGTTCATTTAGAATACATCATAATTTAATCTTTCACATAAAATGTGCGAGTTTGATCTGCGAGCTCTTCTACCTTAGGTTGATTTATCTCACTCGCACACCTGCATCTTGTGTGGCTAATTGTCCGAAGCCGATATAACGAAGCCGACTTTACTTGTGTAAAGTCACAATGCAGATAATCCTGGAAGAGTTCCGAAGTGAAGAGCGAGGAAACGGGATGCTGCCGGTGATAGTTTGATGACTATTTCACGATGGGCAAATAGCACATAAACTATTCTAATGTAGGGCTGTTTAGAAAAAAAATAGCAGGTTTATTCGTCATATTTTTATATAGAAAAAAAATAAAAATAAAATAAAACCAGAAGAGTTCCGAGATGAAAGGCGAGGGAAACAGAATGCTGCGGTGAATAGTTTTATTAAGTTTCAATCTGGATAAAACCAGAAGAGTTCCGAGATGAAAAGCGAGGGAAATAGAATGCTGCGGTGAATAGTTTAGTGACTATTTCACCTTGGGCAAATAGCACAAAAACTATTCCACGGTAGGGGCTGTTTGGAAAAAATAGCATGTTTATTCGTCATATATATCTATATGGAAAAATTCAGAGGTATAATAAAAAAATGATTCCTGGAGGTTTAAAAAGTTTTTATTCGGGCCGTTTTTCATCAGTCGGAAGGGAGGGGGCAATCAAACAATTTTTAAAGATGGCTTTATTATTTTTTTTTCATTTATTTTCAAGCATTCATCATTAAGATATACTTATTTAAAAGTGTTATTTTTCCTTTTCTCTAAAAAAACGACACCGTCACAGTAGCTGAGTCGGTAGAGCGCTCGCTCCGTGATTAAAAGGTCGTGAGTTCGAATCTCGGTCGCGACTGACCTAAGTCGATAAAAAAAGTAGCAACTGTTCCTTCTCCAAGCGCTCGGCACTTTGAAGTGAAAGTTGCGGGAGACCTTAAAAACCGAGGTCCCGTGTCACGACAGGTGTTGGCACGATAAAGATCCCTCACTGCTCAATGGCCTTGAGTGCCGAATAAAGGTCTAAATTTGAAGCCCTTCACCGGCGTAAGGTGACGTCTCTACATGAGTGAAAAATTATCGAATGGGACGTAAAACAACGTACAATTAATCAATCAATCTCTAACAAAACATTGTACAAGTTGTTGCAATTTCCAACCTTTGATTTTAACTCTACAAGATCATAAGTAAAGATATCCAAAATCCAATGATAGAAAGTGGGTTTTTATGTAAAAGAATTTTGTATTTTCCTTTGAATTAAGACTAAATGAATACGAGATTGATAAATGTAGTTTAACAATAATAAAGCCTTTTTTTCTTGTTGTTGTGTATTTTAATGATCATTCCAACTTTATTACAAAAAGTCCCAAATTGGTTACTAGCTAACAGAATACTCAATGATATCAGCTAATAACATTTAAACATGGGAAATGCACTGTCTAGAGGTTCATTGCTCCCCACACAATCAATTCTTCAAAATAATACTCCCCTTTAAGCCATCTAACAGATAGTAAGCCCAACTCCACAATGTAAATCTGCATTAACTTACATGCACTGTTGATGTCCACTGAACTTTTCTTGGGTATTTCTCATGTAACTATATGTCTTTTGTCCTTGGTTTGAGAGATTTCCCTGATTTGTTTGTTTGTTGTTTAACGTCCCTCTCAAGAATTTTTCACTCATATGGAGACGCCATCACTTGCCGGTGTAGGGCTGCATATTTAGATCTATACTCGGAACTCGGGGCAATTGAGCAGTGAGGGATCTTTTTCGTGCCAGCACCTACTGCGACACGGGACCTCGGTTTATACGGTCTCATCCGAAGGACCGGTCTCCACGTCCTGCAGTGGGATTCGAACCCTCGACGTGAGGATCTACTCCTTACACCGCGACTCTAGAAAAACACTCTTACCACTGCGCCACGTGGGCGACGATTTTCCTAGTAATTCAACTTATATTTATTTTGACCGCAGTTTTGGAGATTATTTTTAATTTGAGGTCTTTGCCAATACACGAAACGCATTCTATCGTTTAACAGGGTCCGTAGGACATTTATCATTTGAACGATTGAACATTCTATCGAGGAGATAACAAACTGATGAAGCTCAAAAGTCCATTGAATCAGGAGCAGAGCAAACCAGGATCATTAAAAGCATCAGAGGTGGAATCAGGTACCATGGAGAAGTAAGCATCCCCTATCGACCGGTCACACCTGCCGACTGATACTCAAGGGCATGAGTATGATCAAGTTTTAAACCGAGGCAGGTTACTGACAGATAAGTTGATATTAATGGGATTCGTAAATGCTATGGTCATTATAATTATCTTGTTAGCAGGCATAACTTATTTTGGCTTATCAGTTGTAAGGCCTTTGTATTTATACTAATTTTGAGTTCAGAATGTTTCGTCTACTTGGCCAATACATAGGGCTCACGGCAGGTGGTACCGGTCAACAGGGTATTCTTGCTCCTCACAGGCACCTGATCCTACCTCTGAAATTTCCGTGTGTCCTTGTTCAAAGATTTGTATTTGTAGATTTTTTTTAGATCGCTCAATGTTAGTTATTTTCACCTTTTCTATTTAATTGAGAGTTTTCCTGATTGTTATTTTTAAATTTATTTTGACCTTAGCTTGATTTTCCTGGTAATTCTGTTTGAAGTTAAGTTTGAGAGTTTTCTCCTGGTAGAAC